ATACGCGACATGTTTGATCACTTGAACGGAGCCAAATACTATTATAAACTCAGTCTCAAATTGGGATATCATCAAATACCCATAGGGGAGGAAGATAAACCCAAAACGGCGTTTCGAACATCAAGAGCTCTATTTGAATTCAGTGTAATATCACAAGGCCTCAAAAATGGATCTCCAACACTCCAGCGAATTATTGACACCATTTTAGGTCAACTTCGTTGGGATTGTCGTATGGCATACATAGACGATATCATTGTTTATTCGGAAACATTCGATGATCACATTAAGCATCTAGATCAAGTTTATTCAGCATTGTCCACAGCAAATTTTCGGCTGAAGATTGATAAGTGTGACATATGCAAAAACGGAATTAAATTCTTGGGGCATCAAATCACCGACGATGGAATCCTTCCATTGGAAGAAAAAGTCTCCGCAATCAGAAACATACCAACACGAAAAACTGCTAAGGCTACCGTATCGTTCGTTAAAGCAGCAGAATACTACAGAAACCATATCACGGGTTTTTCTAAATTGGCTGCGTCACTACATAAATTTGCAAAATATGGTAGAAATCATAAGTTTAAATGGGGAGCAAAAGAAGAAGAGGATTTTCAAAAAAGCAAAGATGCTTTAACAAGCTGTCAAGTACTACATTGTCCTCAACCACATTTGTCGTTCAGAATCCAGACAGATGCATCGAATATCGGTATCGGTGGTGTGCTTATGCAAGTTCATCCAGACGGGAATGGAACTATTGCCTACATGTCAAAAACATTGAAGCTGTCAGAAAGAAAATGGACCACAACCGAACGTGAATGTTTAGCAATAGCTGAAGCCATCAAATTGTGGAATCCATATATTGCTGGCACCGAGTTTGAAGTATACACTGACCACCATTCATTGTATTGGCTTACAAAACAATCACAAAATAATCCACGACTTGACCGATGGCGATTGGCATTATAGCATTATATGTTCACAATTCATTATTTGTCGGGAAAATCTAATTGTATGCCTGATTGCTTATCAAGATTTCCCCTAGATAATACAAAGATGGTCAACATAGCTACTCAAATGGAGAATATAATTGGTTGTGTTGGAGCAGTTATGCGATCAGTGGCAAAAGCAAAAGCACAAAATCAACAAATAACCAACACGAACGATCAGCCTGCTTCAATAAACGGACAAGCCATGAGCGCAACACCATTATTATTAAATCAGAATCAGCATGCCCTAAAAATATCCACAAATTCAGATACTATCCTTGTATTACACAATGAACAATTGAAATAATATCAGCAAGAAGATAGTGTGATACGACGAATTTTTCAAGAACATTGCTAAACCAAGTTATAGTCGGTCATACTCCATTAATGTTGCTGGACTTCTATGTAAATTCAAGAAACGGGGTGATCTAGCAGCTCAACCTGTTTCGGTACTGCCTAAAACTCGAATTCAAGATGTCTTATTGGTATATCATAATTCGGCATATAATGGTGTACATTTGTGTGGATCGTACGTATAACAAGATACGAACTCGATATTATTGGTCGAATACGTACAAGGATATCCGACGCCATATTCAGCAATGTACAAACTGTACCATCAATAAATGTAGAAGAAAAAAACCTGATGAATACTTGCAACCCATACAAGCTCCACCAGCACTTTGGGTGAAAATACAAATTGATTTTATTGGTGAAATTAAACCACAATCCCAAACCGGTAATAAATACATTATTGTTGCACTTGATTTATTTTCTAAGTTTGCCATATATATATTATTGATATTTCAACGGATGATTTAAGCCACTGCGCTCGTTAGACACCTGGCTCTGAAAGTTTAAGCCCAAGCTTGACCAGACTTTTAGGAGTTTGAGGAGTTCTTTTTGTTTAGCACCAGACAGCATGGTTTGTGAGATATCGGCGCAACAATGACCAAAATAGGGCTATTCGTAGCTGCAAAATTTCTTAGTAACAAAACCTTGTGTGGAGCTCGAGTTGGTTTTAGGTTGACGAAAATACATGTGTATAGAGGCTAATAGAGCCGGATTTTTGATGTTTTACTTTTCAAATTATTGGTGAGCGGATCTTGAGGGATGAGGGATTTCTGTCGGTAACACAACTAGCTCATAATATATTTGTTCGTATATTTGTTAGCTTGGGCTCATACTTTCAGAGCTAGGTGTCCAACGAGTGCGGGACCTTAAATCATCCGTTGAAATATGATAAATGTAACTTGCTGAATAAAGTGGATCAGAATGGTTCTCACCGTAGTATGTAGCATTTTCAAACTCATCTTTGGTAATTAATCTCTTTCTTCGTACAAAACAGAAACATTCCAAATTGTTTAAATTTAATCATCCATTACCACATTGTGTAAATAACGCGCATGCATTTTTATCAACTCTTCTTCAACAGAAAAACAACCCATACTACTTACAGTACCTCAAAATTTTACAAGAAATGGCCATCACCAAAGATTTAACACTATTACTCAAAAATTATTTTGCATTGGAAAAAGTTCAAAAACCCGCATAGAAACTCACTTTCTTGCGGATAACTCTTTTACAAAGATTTTCACTCATTTATGATATCTCTGCTTTTTTCGAAACTTCGGATAGGAAAGATATAGTGACTTGCGGTCTTCATCATGGTGTAGACAAAACGTCAATGCAGAAGTTTATGCACACGCCAACTATCTTGTATTTGTGAATATTCAAAAGCACGTAAAATATCAAAACGGAAAGAATAACAACAGATTTTTTGGTTCACGGTTGGTAGGAAAAGCTATATTGTGAAATAAAATGAGTACAGATAGATATGAGGGCGGCAGAGACAGGTCAATTCAAGTGAGATTAACGCTTGAATCAATCGATAAATAAACAGTTCGCTCAACATTTTGCTTCTTACTATGCACTTGACATTCGGAAGAGATTAACTGATGAACCTATTAAGCTAAGTACATCAGATGCACACTTTTCTCCTTTACATTCAAACACGTTTTGATACCATAAAAAAAGAGAACGAAACCTATCGAACCTTCAAACCAGAAGGACTAGTAAGCAACGTTCACAATATAGTATTAGAGTATAGCTTCTACAGAACCAGTCTTTTTCAAAAATGTTGTTGTTTGTCTAACATCGTCTATTGTAATCAGAGTTGACTGAATAAAAACTGTATTCTTTTGTTTATCAGGTATGAATGAAAAGAAAATAATGCAAGATAAAAACATTGCTAAACTCCATCCTTATCCTTTGCCTGCATTGCCACAAAGAAATTTATCTGATTTTATTACCACTAATGTGTTGTTACCAAGCTGTATTTTGATGATCATCATTTTATTTGTATAGAATGAAATATTACAACCACGTATTCATGTAGAAGAACTGCACTATATATACATATCTGTGTCTCTAGACAGTGTGGAGACATATCTCATGTACTCCCAGTCGGGATATATATCCCGATTGGGATATCATTTTTTGCAGCAAAATTTTTTCTATGCCTCGAACGAGATATAGTTTGAAATTATATCCCGATCAGGATATAAATCGATATCCCGATCGATATCAAGAAAATCTATATCCCAATCAGGATATCAAGAATTTTAATTTTTAATTTGTTAGAAAATGATAAATTTTAATTAGCTGAATATTCTTCTCCTTCTCCTTTATTTTCCCTCTCTAATGTTCCTAGTAGTGGTGTCTTTTGTTTTCTCCAGCTGATCGAAGAGACACGCATATCATTTTAACAGACGTAAATAGATTTCTTCTATTAGACATCTTTCATGTGTGATTGTAGTATAAAATATAATAGAAGATAGAAGACAAAGTCGTTACCACGCACAGTTTCATCTACCATACATTTGTAACGTTCTTTTCT